ACACACACACACACACACACACACACACACACACACACACACACACACATTTGTCACACACACAGTCCACATGAATACGTACAGGTACACGATAATTAGTTCACCTAGGGGATAGAGAATTATTACTTATGTCTAGCAACCTCAGACGAAAGTGTATCTTTATTATCATCGTAATGTTGATTAGAATAGTATATACAGTCGATTCGATGAATCACTTATTAATTGTTTGTAGTTTAGAACGTGTACAGGGCGCGTGGCACAGTTTGGGGTGGATCTATCGTTTGGTTCGTTGAGGGTGGACCAAAATGGCGGAAGAAAGAGTTTAATGGTGTGATAGATGGAAGTGTAAAGACTTTGTGTTACCTAGATTTCTTTGGGAGTGAGTACATTTTGTTGTAATGACATTATGAATTTTAATTGACTCATAAGATTTATAAACAATGTGTATGTATAAAAGAAATTTATAAAGAGTTTGTAAGGGGTTATAAATTGACTGTAAATATTTCTCAAAAAGTTCCAAACTGAGATGGCAGTAAAATAAAAATACAAATTTATACTTCAATTCTATAGAAATACTCTGTTAGATAAGAATGGCGTAACGTTTCTTGTTGATCATGCTTCACCGCAAGTGGCGCTAGTGTCTCGCTCTGTATAACTTCCAAGATATATTTCTCAGCAAAGTGCTCCATAAAGGATGCTCAATTTCAATGTCCCTAATCTAAAACCCATTGGATGCAATTAATTAAACGTAACTGCAACTGTTATTTCTAGAACACTTCTAAAGAAAATGAAATAATGAAGTATACTCACACCATACTCACACCATACAACTCTTACCTCCAGAACGATTTGTCTACCACAAACGAACCAAGGTGTATAACAGGTTCCAATCTCGTGGCGCGCCCTGTATACATTATATATCTTCTATATATAACATATATATTACGTAATTGTTGATAGATGGTCAATACGTATATTTATTCGACGTAACATGTACTCGAATAAGACTCGGCATCACGAGAATACTCAATACCTTCTAATTAGCACAAAAGAAAAATTCTTGATAAACAATAGAAAAGAATAAATAATCGAGACGTTGATTCCCGTGATACCGTGACAATTGAATTAATTAAATCGTGCATGCAGTAATAGCTATCTTACTATGATACATGCAGTTTCAAGCAGACTTTTTGGTAGGCCATAGGAACAGTAGCGAGTAACCCTTTGAGTAATTTTATTATCCTCAACTCTTTTCTAACGTTTTGTTTTTTTGTTTGTATCACTGTAATGTGTGTGATGTTCGGGTGTATTGCAGTTATGTGACGATGGGCATAGATCTAGGCAACCTTGCCGCTCTCAGGACATTTCGAGTCCTCCGAGCCTTGAAGACTGTCGCTATTGTACCAGGTATGCTTAGAGAAATAGAAATTGGTCGTAGACGCAGATAGAGGTCATAGACACTTGTCGCGGTCGCTGTACACATTTTTTTCGCAATCATCACCGACCAACGCCTGTTCTACCTCGTACCATTTAACGTTTAACATTACATCATTCTAACGGGTGTTGTTTTTTTTCATCAAGCCCTTCACGCTCATCCATCGATCTCGAAATCATTCGTCGAAACTGTATCGATCAACGTTCTACACTTGGTAATCGACTACTGTCACCACGATCGTCTACTCAAACCCCCTGCCCTCTTTGTCCTTCGTGCTATCAACTGTTACTCCCATATTACATGTTATACATTTCTATGTTTCCTTATGTTTGTTTCCTCGTATCATTCCTCTCCAAATCATCTCGTTTTTCTGAGCCCGAAAAGCGGCCTGTCAAAATGTCCGACACACCCAGCTCACCCTACCACGCAGGATTTCCAACTGAGTCCGCTGTCCTTTTCTCTCGTTGTCTAGGTCTGAAAACCATTGTCGGCGCTGTGATAGAATCCGTGAAGAACCTGCGCGATGTGATAATCCTGACGATGTTCTCTCTTTCCGTCTTTGCGCTGATGGGCCTCCAGATTTACATGGGGGTTCTCACGCAAAAGTGTATAAAAAACTTTCCCGAGGACGGCTCCTGGGGGAATCTCACCGATGAAAACTGGGAGCGATTCGTTAGTAACGAAAGTACGTAAGCAAAGGCTGGACAACTGTATTCTTAATGTTCTGTCTATTATCGTGTTAATGCTTCGCCTACTGGTAGCCTCTGTATTTAAGTTGACTGTTAATTTGGAATTGTCAATTTGGGGAAAACGTGGGAGGCTTGTAAATTATTTTTGTGGCAAGAGAAATCTTCTGAATTTGAGTGAGGAGTTGGAATATTTTGTAGAAGCAGTCAGGTCAGGTTGTTGGGTTGTTGAAGGAGACAAAAATGTTAATACCTGGTGTACCTAGAACCTAGTGTGCCTAGTACCAAGTTTTCCTAGTACCTAGACCAGTAGGTAAAGTGGTAACAATTATAGTTGACTAACTAAATATCCAAAAAAGCTTTAGTTTGAAAAACCACGTGGTGCATTGAAATATTTATGGTTTCTAAACAATGTTTACTCTTTTTCCCAGCAAATTGGTACGTGGACGAGGCGAAAAACATGCCCCTGTGCGGAAATTCATCTGGAGCAGGGTAATTCTCACCTTTCTAATCCTCGTTCGCTATTTATTATGAAATACTAATCAAAAAATTGTTTCGAGCAGGCAGTGCCTTCCTGGCTACACGTGTTTACAAGGATATGGCGATAATCCGAATTACGGTTATACGAGTTTCGACACCTTTGGCTGGGCCTTACTTTCCGCGTTTCGTCTCATGACCCAAGATTACTGGGAGAATCTCTATCAGTTGGTACTAAGATCTGCCGGTCCTTGGCACATGTTATTTTTCATTGTCATCATCTTCCTCGGCTCCTTCTATCTTGTCAACTTGATCCTCGCTATCGTCGCCATGTCGTACGATGAATTGCAAAAGAAAGCAGAGGAGGAAGAGGCTGCAGAGGAGGAAGCCATTAGAGTGAGTATCCCACGATTTATTCCAAGCTTTAGGCAATGGTTCTTTACCCTTTTGAGTTAGCAGAATTCTCAGGAATCTTCTAGAACTCGTGGCACAATTTAAAGAAAACATTTTTGAGCTGCAAAGGGTTACAATGTTGAAGAACCATTGCTTCTGTACTATCAAATTCCTTCTAAAACACCATAGCATAAATTAGAGAAAGAAACCTGTCCATGAAAGGTCCCAAAACTGCTCAAAATCTTGGGCTCAAATCCTTGGGTTGCAAAGAATCTTAAAGTTGAAGAGCCCCTGCTTCTACTCTATCAAATCGTCCCTAAAACACCATTGTCAATTTGGGAATTAAATTCATCTCCCTCTCTACTATCCTGAAAAACCTCCAACTCTGTCACGTATCGCCTTAAGGTGACACTTTGGTAATCGATTATGTACCCTTTTAAATGCGCTAGGAAGCAGAGGAAGCCGCTCTGGCGAAGGAGAACAAGCTGGCGGCACAGGCAGCCGCTAGGGAGGCGGCAGCAGTTGCTTCGGCTGCAAATGCAGCTGAGCAAATCGTGAAGTCTCCCTCGGATTTCTCGTGTCACAGTTATGAGCTCTTCGTCGGGCAGGAAAGAGGAAACGATGACAACAATAAGGAAAGAATGAGCATACGTTCGATCGAATCAGTCAGCGAGCAAAGAGTGAAACAAATCAACAACCACACCACCACCACGAAAGTGCGAAAAGTCAGCGCCGTAAGTATCCAACTGGCCGTTGCGCCATCGATTATGTCCTCCTGTAACGTAACGTACTTTGGTTTCCTGTTAATCGAACTCGTAAAAACCCCTGACCTCGCTTCCACGAGAGCAGTTCATGCGAGGCTGTTCGATGTTGACTCGACTCGTCGGCAAACTGAGCACAGTTGACTTTGAGCATTGGTAAAGCGTCTGGATCACGATGCTAGGACCTACTAGTCTGCAGTAATTTCACGCGATAAGATCCGGACGTAAGGTTGAAAATATAGAAAAGGCTTTTCAAAGCTTAAGAGGATTGCTTAATTACGATTGTGGCAATCACAGCTCGAGGGTATGTGACACTAGGGCAGGATAGTTGGCGATGAGCTTCGAAGGAAAGGATGTGTTGGACACGATGGTTCTCTAGAGAAGTTTTGTCGTTTAGCCTACCTCGACGAGTCGAGCCCTTCCACAAAATCTGTCGCTCTGTAGCATGCTTGTCGTGTACAAACTACTTTTGGTACTTCGTTAAGATGCTTTTAAACTCCTTGGTTTCCTTACGTTCATTTGCTCGCTAATTCAATCTTCCCAGTGGTATAATCTGTTTACGACGCGCATATAACATTCGTTTGAGTTTACATCGTTCTCGACAAAGCAATCAGGTGTGACATCGCATATATATATAACTGGACGCCTTGAATTCATTATGCTGTCTTGCATGCGAACGCATGTGTTGTAGTAGAGAAAGGAGATACGAATTGTCGGATCGTGATAACGAAAAGATTGCTGCGATGAATGGGCAAGGTTCTTGATCCCGAGACTGCTAATGAAAGCAAGTTTCTATTTGTAAATTAAAAGTTTGCTTATTAACGAAAGTCGTCGCTGTGGGAGAGATTAAGTAGAAGGTAAACGTTAATACGTGGACGTTATTTGTTTAATCGCGGTACGGGTAGCATCATTGGACGTCTGAGGATTCACTGATATTGATCAGTATTGGAGTCAAAACAGAATCAGTTGAGTTCTATCGGTAAGAGTTGACAATGTAGAACTCTGATTGGTTCACGAATTTATCACCAGAGTGTTCTACGTTACCATAAAGACTTACCAATAAAGCGATGTACCTTACCGATGGAGTGCTTTGCATTACTGAGTCTTACCGACTGTGTACTCTACCTTAACGACCGTGTCTCTCAATCAGAAATAGTCAGTTGATTTTAATCTATTTATCAGTGAATCTACAGACTCCTGATGGAGCTACCTGTCAGAATAACGCGATCCTTCGTCAAAGTATCGCACCTGTAAGCCTCTAAGTTCCGAATCGCAAATACCCACGCAAAATACGGCTGCAAGAGATGGATCTCACCGATTTTCGTGTCTCCCATTCTTCTATTCCTTAAAAAAAACGAGTTTGAGTCTATCCCTCTAACATCTTGCGACGAGTTGTACCATCTCTGCGCGTAACATCTTGCTCTTACTTCTGTGTTTGTACGCTTTGCTAGTATTTATATAATACATATTCGTATCGAGTGCCTCCTTGGTGTACACTTTAGACCACGTTACGAGCCGTTTGGTAGGAGATATCTTTTCTTGTTTTTTTCTTAAGGTCTCTCGCGCCGCTAATGGCCAGTTTACTTATGCCTACCAGGAAAGCCTGCGGAAGGTATGTGTGTCACGACGTGTCTGTCAACACCGACCGTACGTACTAAATAGCTGTACAGGATCCATGATCCGAATCATGTCAACGCGTCCCAAGTTTGACGTGTCGGAATGGTGGAACAATCATGCGTCAACTTAGTGGCTGTCGCGGAACTTGATTCGTTACTTTTAAACGTTCTGAAGATTTCACGTGGTGATTCGTTTCAAGTACCAACACGCTTTTGTCGTTTGTAGCATCAACTGTAAACGATCGAGGTGTTAGTACGCGAAACGAGTCGCTGCAGCAAGCGAAAAGCTATAAAAATTCCAGATATGTTTCACTATCGATAGTACCGATGCTTTCTCTAAGTTGAGACGTCCGTGTGAGCTAGAAACATGATACCAACCATATTACTGTCAATCAAACCGCCAAAAACGCGTAATTAGACACATCGATCGGCATACCAGTTCATTAGAGCACATCCCATCGATTTCACGATCTCTATCGTCTGGGATCAGGGGATGGGAGTCATTTGCCAACTTTCATATCACCCTCGAAGGGGTTCACTTTGACATCGCCAGCTTTGACAGCGCCTTAACAATTTAAACGTTAAAAGAAAGATCAGGTCACCCTAAGACGCCTGCGCTTGCGAGAGCAACACTCATTTCGGGGTCAGTTTCATCGAGAGTGTTCATTACGATCGACAGTCGTTCGTTGCTCGAGGAGGTTTAGTAAACCCGCCCTCGTCCCTCTGACGCGTTCCCCGATCCTTGCCCTCAACCTTGCCCTCCAGAGAAGCTCGAGAACGGGTGAGAGAGAAAAGCGGTGGTCCGCTTTGTTGTAATTTCAGGCGAGCCTTAGTCTACCTGGCTCACCGTTTAATCTTCGTCGAAGCAGTCGTGGTAGCCATCAGTTCACGATAAGAAACGGTCGTGGCCGTTTCGTCGCGCCACCAGGTGGTGACAGGAAGCCCCTGGTGCTCTCCACGTACCTCGACGCCCAGGAACACCTACCGTACGCCGACGACTCGAACGCGGTCACGCCTATGTCGGAGGAGAACGGTACCATCGTGGTGTCGGGTTACTATGCCAACCTTGGGTCGAGACACTCGTCGTACACGTCGCACGCCTCGCGGTTTTCGTATACATCGCACGGCGATCTTATCGGTGGCATCGCCAACGCTGGGAAACCGATGACGAAGGAGAGTCAACTGAGGATCAGGTCGGTCAGGCCTCCGTCTGTCAACGGACACTTTACGGATTCTAACCAGAAGTACCATTATGTGAGTATGTCGTTGGAACAGGCTGGTTTGGCAACTGTAATGTTGGTATGTCTGAAGCTCACAAGATATTTGTCTCCAAAGTCAGATCCTAGGTGGTTTTGACTCAACTAACTGATAAGGGTTAAAGGAAACTTGGAACTACTAATTGGGATCAATTCTTCTCGCAAAAAGGAGTCGAAAAGCCCTTTACCGTTTTTCGATCCGACGCTACGTTCCCTAGATGTGAGCAATCAAAGTTTAGCGCCATCCTCAGCGCCCGCCATTTTTGTCCCAGTCAGCTGATCGCAGTGTTTAAGCGCTTGTATCTCGGTAACGGAGGCTCACATTGAAAAATGGAAAAGAGATTTTCGATCGGTATTGGCTGAAGGAATCGATTCCAAAGGTTCAATTTCACGCTTGGAGATATTAACATAACAACAGTTGCTGGACCAATCTGTGCAACACCTCAGGGTCATAAATTAACGTTTATACGCCATAATTGATCTTCAGGAGGGCGATCTGGAGGATCCCATGGGCAAGGCAAAGCAACAAGACAATCCGTTTATAGAGCCTTCTCAACAGCACGCAGTCGTCGATATGAAAGGTAAAATTCGTCAGCAATAACGCACTAAATATCGTTCAAATGTACCAGACATTGATTGACTGATTTATTCTTTTTAGACGTGATGGTACTGAACGATATCATAGAACAGGCAGCAGGTCGTCAGAGCAGAACACCAGAGCAAGGAGGTAATGTCGAATATCCGTCCCTGTTACGTCATTTCTTACAGTTTAACCACCCATATATCACAGATGTGTATCTCTTGTGTGATGAGCATCCTATCATTTGATGTACACCGTTCTTGAGACTCTTGTATTCTTTTCCTCGATTGACATTCAGTGCTGAAGATTTTTGTCTGAGCGCCTTGTACATAGTAGACTGAATCCTTTCTTTTCACTTCTCTATATTTCCTTTCGAATTTAATTTCCAATTTATTAACTATATTAAACGTTGTGAGATGACAACATGATGTACTTGTAATTTTATTGGATATATATATATAATGGCAACACGATGTACGACAGTGCATGGTTTCCTGTTGCGTTCCAATCGTCTAAGTTTCGACCGTCACGGCAAAGAAGATGGCATTGCTCGATTCGAAGTACATCGGTGTAAACAAATTCTCTCGGTACACGGTGTAATACTGATATATACAAAACAAAAACGGATTGTGTTAATCGCAACGCGTAAGCTCTCGAATGTTGGATGGATTGAAACAGTCTGTAGTAGTTTTCTTTTGGGGAAACAGTGTTTGTTTCCTGATAATTCGACACAGATTAATGTCCTCGCTGCGGCTGCACGACATCCTGGTCGCTTCGTGCCTGGATTTTGCTTTTTCTTCACCTTCGATACAAACTGCAGCGACGTTTTTACATTTTCTTTTTGCCACGATATCTCCAACGGCACTTGCTTCGTCGCGTCGAGGGCACCGCGTTCGGCTTAGCTGCACAATGAGACTTGTAGGATCGATTAAGTAGGCGGCATATTAAATCTCGATCCAGCCATCGCGATTAGAGCTTCACGAGTCGATTTTACTGATGACACTTGTTGACATCGGGCACACACGCACGCATAGTCGCACTTCGATCGCTTGAGAACGTGGTAGAGCTTGCTGTTGAGGGGTAGATCATTTAGTAGTTTCATTTGTTGGCTCCTTTGTTCGTGCTATGCATACTCATTGACCCTCTGGTTGTAGATGAAATGTGACGATTGACTTGGTCTGCGCTGGGTTGGCTCTCAACTGAGTGGATGGAGTAAATTGAGCTAGTTTCTTTTTGAGAACTTATATGAATTTTATATTGTACTACTTGTTGCAGTTTTGCAAATTTTTATAATGACAAGTTTCACAAATAATTTTGTATGAAAGCAGACATTTTTAAAAAATTACTACAACAAGTCTTCCAAGCTGTCTAGTTCTCTCAGTTGGGGATCAATCAATTATTATAATTAATTTTATCAAAATTCGCTCTTGACTTTTCGTTTACCAAGCACTTCCTTTGAGTAAAGCTGTACTACAGTATTTAATCACGACGAATTTGCATAACATCTGTATTCCCTGTTTGCTAACTTAATATCCCTGACATAGCTTGTGGACATTCGCGAGTTTGCATTCTTAATGTTCGCACTTCATATCTACAGTAACTCAGAAAGTTTCATCGAAGTTCCTTACGTCACTCATTCAGATACTGTGTGTAGGTGAAAAGTTCGCTAGTGTAACTGTACAATCTTCTTGATTAAACGATAAAATTCTATATCTACTATACTGTGAAATTCAAGGGGATTATACTGCTACCAATCAGACCCGCTATCCAACCTCTCATCTCGGCATAGTACTTTTCTGAGTCTCTGCACATGATTACAGTTCATAGGTGAGAAGTTGGTTAAAGTAACAATACAATCTTCTTGATTCTATGATAAAATTCTAAATTTTAATATCTATTATACTGTGAAATTCAAAGAGATTATACTGCTACCAATCAGACCCACTATCCAACTTGTCATCTCCGCATAGTACTTCTCTGAGTCTCTGTATATAATTGCATTAGAGTGCTTTTGCGTTGTTCTATGGAAGTGGTGTTCAAACTTCCACCAGTAAAATTAACCAACAGGATTAAAATCAAATTAGAGTCCTGCACCATTGCATAGTAAGTGTTTAGTAGTTGCCCTTATTTCCATTCTTTTCTTTCGTTCGCTGTAAATGGTACACACCTGCCTGTTCGTGTCTAATCTGTGGTCCGAAAAAATGTACAAAAAAAAAAGAAAAGAACAAGCTTGACGAATGAGAAAAACCTCTTTCCCCAAAAAGAGTGGTGCCAGACAAAATTACTAACACGCGTTACAGTTTCGACCTATTACTTTCCGACAGACGACGATGAAGAAGGGCCCAGGTTCAAGGAAAAAGCGCTGGCCGCGATGCTACGGTGCATCGATATCTTCTGCGTGTGGGATTGCTGCTGGTTGTGGCTTGAAATACAAAAATACGTGTCACTTGTGGTGTTCGATCCCTTCGTAGAGCTTTTCATCACCATTTGTATCGTCGTCAACACGCTCTTCATGGCGTTGGATCACCACGACATGGACAAGGATATGGACAAGGTGCTCAAGACGGGAAACTATGTAAGCAAAAACCGTACCAGACTTCTCAAAATGGACCAGAAGTTATGTTTCATGCGTACAGTGCTTCCGTGTGTTCCTGATGCTTTGAGGATGATCACACTTTGTGCGACACGAGTCAACTTTGCTTTCTTCTGCGTTTACTGGCCCTTTCGGTGCGATCATCAATCAATGGTGGTCAATTAGGCACTTGCAGACGCAATGAGCAGCTATTGGGACCTCAGACAAATATAGTGACACGATCAGGGCCTTTTAGAGATCGTAAGAGGCTTTGATCGCTTGCCTTTGGAAGGAAAGACTCATTTTGTGACTTGACGTCATACTAGTCGACTTATTCGCGATACTTCTCGTTATAAGAGGATATAAATCTTTTAACTGGCTTTCTTATGTCAATTTAAGGCCTATGTGAGGCCCACTTTGTAAAAGGGTCTGAATGTAGACACCGAAAGGGTCGAGCGTACTAACGGCCATAGCTATGGTAACCATTAAATGCCAAATTGTTCCAAAATAATCTTGTACTAATGTACGTGCACAAATTTTAGTTCTTCACGGCGACATTCGGTATCGAAGCAGGCATGAAATTAATAGCAATGAGTCCCAAGTATTACTTTCAAGAAGGGTGGAACATTTTCGACTTTATCATCGTCGCTCTCTCGCTTCTGGAGTTAGGCTTGGAAGGTGTGCAAGGTCTATCCGTGTTACGATCGTTCAGATTGGTAAGCAACATTCAACTGAAACAATATCCTTGTAAAAATTATTAATTCAATCAATATTTTTAATTTTTAATTAAAATAATATAATAAATTTTATCTATAAATTGGGAGCAGTTTTGCAGGTACTTGTCAATGTATCATTAAAGTATGAAGCAATATAAATACAGATTATTCAAGAACAATCGAATAAAAATATTCCTCTGAAATATTCTTCCTATTATCATTATCAAACATCCTTATGTCATCTCTGCATAGATATCTCTGTGAAAAAATAGTAATAAAATGAGTACATTAAGTTCCAAATACTTATCAAACTGCTCCCAAATATAGTACACTCTAACTCCCAATTTTATCACTATAATTAAAATGAAAAACGCAATAATAATTCTTTCCTTCGCAGCTAAGAGTGTTCAAGCTGGCGAAATCGTGGCCCACGTTGAATCTGCTGATCTCCATCATGGGCAGAACGGTGGGTGCGTTGGGTAACCTGACGTTCGTCTTGTGCATCATCATCTTCATCTTCGCCGTGATGGGCATGCAGCTATTCGGCAAGAACTACACGGACAACGTCGACCGTTTCCCCGACGGGGAACTTCCAAGATGGAACTTCACCGATTTCATGCATTCGTTCATGATCGTCTTTCGCGTGCTGTGCGGAGAATGGATCGAGTCCATGTGGGACTGTATGCTCGTGGGCGATGTCTCTTGCATACCATTCTTCTTGGCTACGGTTGTCATTGGTAATCTGGTTGTAAGTATGCGCCCAAATCGTTAAGAAACTACATGGTAATGCCACAAATAATTATATGTACATGTAGGATACACTTTGGTATCACCTCTTTAATCTCACGCGACCAGATGAAAATAAAAATAATACTCAAGGTGGGAGTTTTTAACAAAAACCTGAGACTTTTGTTTAGAGATCAATTCTTCTTGAGAAAATAAATCGAAAAGTCCTTTGCCATTTTGAAATCCGATGCTTTGTTACTTAGTTACGAGCGATTGAAATTTGTCTGGGTGACTTCAGGTGTTTGCCGTTTTTATTCTAGTGGAGCGCGGCACTACGCATGCGCGTACACTCACTAACGCGTGTCCACGAACACTAGCGCACAAAATTTAATTATCTGTATCTCGATAACGAAGGCACCATTTGAAAAATGGAAAAGAACTTTTCGATTCGAAATTGCACGAGGAATTGATCTTGAAAAGAGATTCCATATCTTTAGTGACATGCTGTTTAAATCTTGATAAACTTGTTGTTGTGTCTGTAACTAACAGGTGCTGAATCTCTTCTTGGCCTTGTTGCTGAGCAACTTCGGTTCGTCGAATCTTTCGGCGCCGACCGCAGACAACGATACGAACAAGATCGCGGAGGCGATCAATCGAATATCACGTTTCGTTAACTGGATCAAGCGAAATGTCCTTTATCTTGCTAAATTGATGCGAGCCAAATTCACCAATCAGATATCCGATCAGGCGCCAGGTGAGGGACCGTCCAACAGTTGGAAAGAAGGTTTATATCCAATCAGATCGCTTGCTGTGTGCGCTGTGTAGTTCGTGGCACTGTTTTCAGTTCTGCTTTTCACTTTTTTCAGACTTTCTTTTTTCGTTTCGGTGCCAGTCGACGGTCGATAATCGTTCGATGAAATTATGTAACTCGAACGATACGACGAAACTAAACAGTGCGTAACGATGGCCTAAGCAAGATCTCCTGTTTGATTAAACGAATTATTTTTTTTTTTATTTAATTTGATGTTTCTATATTTTTTGCTCTATTTTTCTTTGTGAGAGAATTTTAAGAAAACGTTGACTGGCATGTTCGATTTTTTACGCAGATTTTTTAATCGGTTTGCTATTTCTATTCGTTCTGTGGATACAAAATCTAATTGACAATAAAGTGAAGAAAAATCAAATGTTATTGGAAATATGGAAATTAATTTTTGCTTCGCTGATTAGCCTGGCAGTTATACGTTGCTTTATCTATTATTTTTTGACGTTGAAGAAATGAATCGTTTCGTCTATAGGGAAACGAACGACCGCTTCGATATTATTGGATAACACTTGAGTGTAGATCGACTATCTTTTCACGCGGTACAACTGGATTTGCGTTGATCTGTTTGAAGTTTAGAAGCCAAGTAATTTAATAAGAAGAATTTTTTTTTGAAATGGTATAATTATAATAGGTATACTATGATTCATTGAAGAATGAACTAAAATACCACTTGGCAAATGAACTTCTTGATGAACTTAACATTCAATTTTCTTTGTAATATAATAAGAACCAACACAAGCTTCTTTATTAATTTTTTTCTTTGCAAGAATCAATGCACCACTTCTTATGAAACTATAAACTCGATACGATTTACATGGATTTTATGCATCTAAAATACAAACAAATATAATAAATGCAACAATATTATTATACTAATTGTAGAATATACTCGACATACATTGCGTATATTTCTTCTATATTTTCCATGTTACTGTAAGTCATAAATGCATAAAATTCACAGTCCACTTACAATATCACAAAATACTACGTTATTTTAATTCACTCGTCAGTTACACAGAAAAATACTAAAAACGTCAAGCCTACTAATGAACAATTCTAACGAAACGCAATCCACTGTGTACCGTGCGAGAGTCTAGTCGTACTTCTAGATAAGTACCATAGCAATCGAGTTGCAACGCGACGGGACAAATTGCATGAGAAACAAGTTTATAGGCAATGGAGAAAATTTTACAGCTTGAAATTTCTTTCTTTGATATCTTCGACGGAAGAGTGGAAGACTAAACAGACAAGTAACTGATCGGTTACTTTCTCGAAACTCGAATAAGAATTTCTGACGAGATTGTTTCGATAAGGGCGGATTAGAGATTTTGTGTGCCTGTGCAGATGGAATTGATCGCGACGGGGACCTAGATCTTGCAGATGGCGAGTTGGACGCCTATAGGGATAAAAAGAGTGCCAAGGAGCTCAACCAACTTGAGGTTGCTATTGGAGATGGAATGGAGTTTACTATTCATGGTAAGCGTATCGGGAAAAATAAAAAATTCTCTGAATAAAATCATTCTCAAGATCCATAAAAATATGCATATAATTTACTTTAATAAAGATCATAATCTTCACTTATTAAAATGATACTTGTTCCTTAAGGGGGGAGTCATCATGGCGCTGAAAATTATGCGTTTGTTTACTAATTTTTGAAAAGTAATGTATTGAACAGATCTTTATGAAACTTACAGGGTATTTTACTGGACATTTGGCGTAACACATGGATTTTTTCAATAGAAAATTATACATGGAAAGCCATTGTACGGGCATGTTCGTAGACCTCTCGAAGTTTAATTTGCTAGGATTATCGAGACTTCAATTTTTCCTTAAATAAACGAACTAAAGATTTTCTTGTTCGTAAATAATTCGTAAATATTGCCTCATTTGTCGAACGAAATAAATTTTCTAATTTTCTGATACCTCAAAATCTACTCTTGTAATAGGAAAGAAAAAATTGAATTTAAATCGATAACGATGCATTCAAAGTTCCACCAATAATTTGATGAGAACGCTTTTTATTTCTCGAAGGAGATCTGAAGAATAAATTGAAGAAGGGCAAACTGTGCATGAACAACAGCAAGATTATAGGGAATTCGATACACTACAGGATGGATCATGATTATATTAATCAGAACGAGGATGACACGATCAGGTTCGTATAGTCTCTTGCCCTTTTATTAACACAGACTTAATCGTGATTCTTACGTAATATTTCTGCGCAGCAACAAATCGTACGGCAGCCACAAGAACAGGGTATTCAAAGATGAAAGTCACAAGGGAAGTATGGACTCTTTGGACGGCGAAGAGAAGAAGGACGCGAGCAAAGAAGACCTGGAACAAGAAGAAGGTACTCGTCAGTTAAACAATAATTAACGATGTGTAGTTATATTTTCAAATAGTTATTAATTCAATTGTTTTGTTATTTTATTAAATGTTATTTTTCCTCTCAAGACCTCGAAGAAGGAGGGGAGGAAGAGGAGGGCGAGTTAGGGGACGCCATTATCCAAGCAGAGGACGACTATCCAGCTGATTGTTGTCCAGAAAATTGTTACAAGAAGTTTCCATTCCTGGCAGGCGACGACGACGCGCCATTTTGGCAAGGCTGGGCGAATTTGAGATTGAAGACCTTCCAGCTAATCGAGAACAAGTATTTTGAGACTGCCGTCATTTTGATGATTCTTTTGAGTAGTATGGCACTCGTGAGTATACTCAATGTTTTATTCGCTAAAAATTTTTGATTCCTTCAAATTTAATCTCGATTACGTGTGCCCAGGCCTTGGAAGACGTGCACCTTTCCGCACGACCTATTCTGCAAGACATCTTGTACTACATGGACCGAATATTCACTGTGATTTTCTTCCTCGAAATGTTGATCAAATGGTTGGCTCTCGGTTTCAAAAAGTACTTCACGAACGCTTGGTGCTGGCTTGATTTCATCATTGTCATGGTAAGTCTTATCGTGTACGAACAATTACGCTACGTATTTCAGTTGTGCATTCCGAATGTGTGCGATCGTTTAAAAAAGAAAAACAAAAGAATTGCTAATGAAGATGTGCTAGATACACTATCAAGCAACTTAATATCCAATGATGTCTATATTAAAATCTATTTATACCATTAAATTAACGAAAATACACACACGGAATACAAGGATATTCATAAGGATATTTATGAATGTTTCTAATATGATTTCATGATTTATACTGCAGCCAATCCTACGTTTCGTTTCCTAGGAACAAGCTTACGATCCCCAACCCTCGAACAATTTCTTCTACAAAGTTTCTTTACTCAGTTTCGCAGAGCTTGAACCAAGAAATAATTTCAAACGTTTCTAGACTTTGTACAAGACATCCAATTGGCTCGAGAAAACAGAATGAAGTCGCGAGAAAAAAAAAATAGAATTGTAAAATAATTAAACAAGTAGGCCTGTCGTGAGCTTGTTGCAAAACTTAGTTTAAACAACTGTCCCCGTCTCTTTGACGCAATATCTCCTCCGTTGTTCCTCCACCTCCTTCGAACCTCGAAATTGCCAAATCTGCCTGCAAAGCGGGAGCCCAGCGTGGAACCTTCCAGCGGATTTCTCTTATTCAATCATCTGCGCGTTAATCAACGTTAATCACGAATAACCGTGTGCCATCTGATCAATATTTGATGAATATAGCTGTCACTGATCAACTTGGGCGCAATCTGGGCAGGCGCTGCCGACATCCCAGCCTTCCGTTCCATGAGAACACTGAGGGCCTTGAGGCCATTACGAGCAGTCTCACGATGGGAGGGCATGAGAGTAAGTCATCGGTCGACGAGAACTAACAACAATTTTATGAGAATTATACAAAAAAAAAAACGTGAAAGAAAGTCAGCCTGATCCCGGTGATGTGACGACCTTTGTCGGATCGTGCAAATATGACGGACCAGCGGCTTCAACTCTGATTTAATTCACTTCAAACTTGAACGTTTAAAAAGGAATGCCATCTTTGGGCACGAGGATACTGATATCTGGGAATTTTTTTCACGGCGGATGTGTATATTAACTTTTTAAAGAGAAGAAATTTTCCAGGCCTTCAAAAGAATTCACAAATGTCACCTCGATGTTGGTGGTCTCAAGTCCCCCTTACGGAGGGAGTCCTCAGATAACCTTTGGGAAATTTTTCTTATAATAAAAGTACCTATATAATAACTTTCCTACGAAAAGAAATTAACCAGCTTCCAAAAAGAATTTACGAAACTTCACCTCAGTGTCTCTAATGCCCCTTACAGAGGAAGCTTTTAAAAATCCTTTGTGAATATTTCCTAATAATGAAAGTATACAATAACTTTTCAATCAGAAGAAATTTCTCACCTTCCAAGAATAACTCCTGTAATCTCCAAGTGTTCCTTACAGATGGACCTTTGAGATTTCTCATTTAATCTCAAAACATTCAATTTCCAAAGAACCGAAAATGATACACCTGATATCGATACTTTAAAGGCCCAAAAGTGGCGTATCCTCCGAAAAGCACTCAGGTCCGTCACACTTGCAACGAGGCCCGGGCTCTTTGAACAGTCGATGTGAAAAAGGGGACTAATTACGAAGCGTGGAAAGGGAACGTGTGAACCGAGGGAAACGGAAAAGTGGCTGCAATGATCGTAGCCTGTGCTACGGTGTGCTTTCCAGTGTGCGGAGGTACACCGGCGTCTCTACTTGGTGTCTGCACTGATATCTTGGAGTTTTTTGTCGTACTAGCTATTGTCTATGTACGCCTTTCCTAACAGTCTTTTTTGGCACAGTGATCGTTGTGCAACGTTACAGTGTATCTATCTATATATATACTGTATATACATACATATATATATATATATACATAACATGCTTTGTGTGTAATGTACGATCTTCCTTGTGTGTAATACGTGCGTCTACGCATATATATATTGTAATATGTTTTTACCAGGTTCTTGGTTGTTCGTATCGCAACGCATGGTGACACTTGTTCATCGACTACAGCTTTTAAATCGTTAAGGGATCGCCTAACTCAAGCTATAGTACACTATTAGATTTACTAGAATGAAAATAGTAGCTACTGTTTTGTTATAATTAGGCTGCGGAATAATGCATTTATGTCGAATTATAATATAGAAAAATGTATATAGGATTTGCATAAATGCAAGAATATATAAAATATCGACAATAAAATACACATTGCACTGTTTAGAAGATAGGGCATGCTTTTACTTAAATCTCAATTTTTTATCTAAATGTGTCAAGATATTAACTTGTATAAAAGTCTGCAGACTAGTTATAATCATCAGTTTTTGTCAGGATCACGCCCTCTAGCTCTTGAAAAGAGAAGCAAGAGTAGATGACGCCTCTGGCGTGACCTACGATGAAGGAAATGGCCTGGGCAGCCATTGTGGTCATACTACAGTACGCAGTACAAGTTCTAAACAGACTTCCAGATCCCTTAACTGATCCGAGTAAAACACTGAATGATTTAACGGCAACAAGAGATGTCCACGAACGACAATTCGAATGTTTTGTTTGAATGCCTGTACCCTGGCGTTGCGATCGCGAGTATGACGAACATTTTCATCTGTTTCAGGACGAAGCCAATAATCATGCTCGTAATTGATAATGATTCTTGTCCGAGCCGTACATTGCTCTCTGCCTTGTCAACTGTACATGCGTGTATGCGTACAATCGCTCGCTGTCGCGTTATAAAACCATAAAAATTAATAAAAATTCGTAGCATACGAGCGATTCTACCCAAACAGGCATCAAGTTATGTACATTTCTGTTCACTGTTAACTGCTACGTGTGCCATACCTGGTTTCTATCTATGTCTTCAAACCCCCTGCTCTGGATATTTGTTGTACCGTATTTAAAAACGTGTATATACACAATATAAATGGACAAATCTAAGCTCTCCACAGATGGGACGGCCGCCTGTGTGTGATAACTGCTTCGATAATGAGACCCTCGAACCATCGACGAAACTTCGTAACGAAGTTACACATCGACGGTCAACCTCTGCTCCCTTCTTCCCATTTTCTACTCTTTCTCTTATCTCTTTCTATCTTTCTGTCTATCCCCCCTATTTGCTACTTCCAGTTTGGAAACGATGAAATCGTTTCATACGTGTAGCCTGTCTACCTGTTGCTGTGATTCGCTCTCGTTTCTCGCTCGCAGGTGTCACTCATTAACTTCGTAGCGTCGCTCTGTGGCGCTGGCGGGATCCAAGCCTTCAAAACAATGAGGACCCTAAGGGCCCTAAGGCCACTCAGGGCGATGTCTAGAATGCAGGGAATGCGGGTATGTAGCCCACAGTCTCAGCAGACCTTGCCAATTACTCTATTTATCCCGTCGAATCAGTTATTCTTTTAGAATTCAAGTGGTCCGTTTGTGGACGAATCGACTGCCAGAGTTGGGCATATCAAACTAACCATTCTCAAATAGTTAAACAAATTGGAGAAAACACTGATTTAGAATCACCTAGAGTGCCTATTATTTGCTATTTTCCATTTGCTATTTAATAAGAAACAGTGGAGAACGATTATCACAGATGTTTCGATACAGTGATTGCAAAAGTAAGTATAAGAGCATAAAAACAAGAAAATAGTATTGCGAGTACCTAATAATCGATAGCTAAATAATGTCCAACTCTGATGACAACTTTCGGTTCGTCCAACGTCTTCAATCATAGTCTCTCTCGGTGCCGTCGAGCAATCTTATCGATGTGACAATTTGAATGTTGAATATATATCTTAATCAATACTTGCCTGCAACCGTCCACTGGGAAACGTCGACAAAATTACTTCAACTCTACTTCAGCTTCAACAAAAATTACCAAACGAAAAAATCCTAAACCGGCGGCACCGTTACTTTATTATCCGTCGCGAGACTCGACAAAGAGGCCGATAGGAGTTTCGTGTAACGCAATAAAATTAATTAATCACCCGTTGGGCAATTCACTCTGCGTAATCTTGCAAATGACGTGTACGTTTCTTTCACTTTTGATTTGTAGCAATGCAATGATTAATACATTTACAATATCAATTGATACATTAGTAACGTTTGATTCGATCAGTGGATCACATAATCCTCGGCCTCGCGGTGTACGAGGCTCGACAGAATCTCCTTTTGCACGTGAACATGCGTAGGGCAATCGCGAATGCACTTGGGCTTAACATTGCGAATGTTTAAACGGCACGTAGAATTTGTTCCTCGCGAACAACTATTGCGAAATGTGCACTTTAGAGGATACACGTACATACACTGCTGTCCATCAGTTCGAGGTCACTGACTTCCATTTCTCCGCGAGACATTCTCACCCTAACGAAAAATCGATCATTTCTTCGACAATTTGGACATAATATTGGAAATCAGAAACCAATTTATGTTCGTTGACACGCATTCTACGGGACAAGACGAGACGAAATTGAGAAAGGAACCATTTTGTCGTTCTTTTGATATAGGCTGATTAAGTTTTGGACTAATTATTCCAAAACTCATTAATTCTACATTCATACAATAGTAATACAAATAAAAATTGGTTTCACCCCCCCCCCCCCCAAGGATTCACTAATTTAATTTACAACTGTCCTAGAAAAATGCTTGCAAAGTATACTTGAATAAACTATTTGACTCTGACAATTTGTTATAAAATGTCACATGACTCCAAAAATAAGCATGAGTCCCAGTCGTCTTCTGGTCGTAGGCTGTTTAAGTTTGGACTAATTAATCCTCCTAATGTTTCTTCTCTATTAATTTTACATTCCTTGTATCATTTCTTGTATTTATTATAGCCATTCTGCCAATAGTAATACAAATAAAAATTGTTCTCCATGCTGTCCTCCATAAATGCTTGCAAAGTATAATTAAACAAGCTGTTTTCCTCTGACGGTTTTAGTTAGGAAATGACAAGTGACCCCAAACTCATGGACGGTACTGTATTTAGATATACTACCTCGATCTGTTCATCGAATAACGTGCCTTCTACTCTAAATACTGCTAGATACATATAAACGCTAGCATCAACACACCAACATAACATAGTAACTTGTCACCGTTAACAGTCCTACGGAGGTTAAAATTAACAGTTTCTATCTCATTACAGACGTAAATGATTCCACATAACCGTAATACAAGGTCGCTGAGATACTGGGCGTAGAGTCACTGTCATGCCCACACCCTGACACTATCTTATCCTCTCTCGTAGTAGTTCGAAGCTACTATTTATCAGCATATATCGATGTACTTGACTCGTCACTTAGATTTCTTTTATTTTTCATTATTTCGTTCATTTCTGCATGGGACTGTCGCCTGTTTGTGTTCGGAGCTGCCATGGCCACGATCTACCCGCCACCTTGCATCAACATGAAATCTGTATTTCGATGTTACGCTTAAACGCCGATGTGCTAGCTTTTTCTTTAGTTTCTCCACGTATATATGATATATATATTCTTGCGTGTGTATCGTGTACCGCGAAGCAATGTACCCACGTCACATCGATCAACGATCAGGCAAATTTCTGTACCTTCGTATCTTTTTTCATTTACGTTCTCTTCTTTGCGAGCGAGATCGCAGTGAACGCAAGAAGGAGCCAGTGTAATATGTATATATTTTTTTTTTATATTGTTTAAAGATTGTTTCGATGTAACGATACTTAGATTTCGGAAACTAATCGGTGGAGGAGTAAGTATGCAAGATTTAATGTCGGTTTACTGCTTAAAATTGTTGGAAAAAAATCAGATGTTCCTTGTATCCCTTTTTCAAAGAATGTATTATATCAAGAATGATTTAAAATTAAACTACTGAAGTTAATGGTGGACAAAGCTTTCTGTATCGTAAATTTTGATCGCAAAATTCGATTCACTCGCGCGCCGTAGTTTCATTGCTTTTATTTCGTCGTGAGATAAGTCGAGAATTAAATTGCACCTACGACAATGCGTACACATAGAGCGTAGTCACATAGAGACGCATAATAGCCGCATATAAACGCATACTTAGACGCATAGAGAAAAAGAAATTTACACGATTCGGAGGGGAAAGCTTGCACGCACTTTAACGGTGTTCTCTGTCTCGCAGGTAGTCGTCAACGCTTTGGTTCAAGCCATTCCATCCATTTTCAACGTGTTACTGGTGTGTCTTATTTTCTGGCTGATCTTCGCCATCATGGGTGTGCAGCTTTTCGCTGGCAAATACTTCAAGGTACGGATTATTAAATATACTGACGAAATATATTAATTTTAATTGAAATATTCGAGTATTTCGAGAATACTTTCTTTGATTTAATTGAAATGTGTCATAAATGAATAAATTACTGCAATCTAGACCCAACTGAAAATACTATTTTACAATTAAAATTACTATTATTATTATTACTGTAATTTTTCGTCGTTGTTGCAGTGTGTAGACGCAAACAAAACAACGTTGAGCTTCGAAATAATCCCCGACCGAAACGCCTGTATAGCTGAGAACTACACTTGGGAGAATTCGCCAATGAATTTCGATCACGTAGGAAAAGCGTATCTGTGCTTGTTCCAAGTGGCAACGTTCAAGGGATGGATTCAGATCATGAACGACGCTATCGATTCCAGGGAGGTGAGTACATCCGACCCAAGTAACGTACCAAATTGCTGTATTTGTCGCTATATTTAATCATCTTCCTCCCCTCTCGTAGCTCAACAAGCAACCAATTCGTGAAACGAACATCTACATGTACTTCTATTTTGTATTCTTCATTATATTCGGATCGTTTTTTACCCTTAATCTATTCATTGGAGTGATCATCGACAACTTCAACGAGCAGAAGAAGAAGGCTGGGGGTTCCCTAGAAATGTTCATGACGGAGGATCAGAAGAAATACTACAACGCTATGAAGAAAATGGGTAGCAAGAAGCCGCTGAAGGCCATTCCGCGTCCAAGAGTAAGCACGACGGAATATATCAGATGAATATTAAAATAAATTGAAATATCTGAAGAACCGAGCACCTTTGATGGCGACTTTTAACGTAATTTCGTTTGTTTCCAGTGGCGACCGCAGGCGATAGTGTTTGAAATAGTGACGGACAAAAAGTTCGATATGATAATCATGTTGTTTATCGGGCTGAACATGGTTACGATGACGTTGGACCATTATCAACAGACCCAGACTTTCAGCGACGTTCTAGACTATCTGAACATGATATTCATTGTGATATTCACCAGCGAGTGTCTCATGAAGATCTTCGCGCTGCGTTACCACTATTTCAAGGAGCCGTGGAACCTCTTTGATTTTGTTGTTGTTATATTGTCAATATTAGGTAATGTAATGTAATGATTAGTTCAGTCGTATGGCCCACGTGAAATCGAGACGAGTTTACGTGAAAATAATCCTGTCAGCTTTTCGAACCACACGATTTTTTCTTCACTAACCCTCTTACGATTAGCGTCTTTTAGTCGGTACAATGGATAATAAGCATGCCACGCAACCATCAACCTTTTTTGGCTATCTCTCAATGCACGCAAAACTAGTTCTCATTAATACAAAAATAAAGGCGGACAGGTTCGTTGTTTCACGTGTGCCGCAACGACTGATCAGCGTCATTACGTTACGTAGCCTTACATTGATGTTGTATTGCTATACCCCGTACCCAAACCCCTCAGGACCCCCATATCCAAGTTAATAGGATAGAAGTATCCGTTGCTGAACCGTCGATACAACATTATTTTAGATTCTCTGTTTCAGGGCCGTCTTAACAGCATTATGGGTTAGTTCGTTCCTATATCATAGACTAAAACACATTTACGACCACGATTACACGGATATTTATCATTTTTATTTATATAGATATACTAGCATTGCAAATGTGTTCCACGTGACATACGTCAGCACTGGGCCCCTTAATTTCTGAGCTCCTTAAAATCAGTGTACTGTACCCTTTAGTTCGTTTAGATGTCACAGACTAAAGAAAAGAAAATTGATGATCACGTCCAAACTTATATTTATCATTTCCATAGCTATTAGTGCCACGTGACATACATCAACACTGCGCCCCTTAATTTAGAGGCTAATCAGTATTCTGAGCCTCTTACCTCGTTTAAATATCACAGACTAAAAAAAAAAATGTTGAGGCCCACATCTAAACTGATATTTATCATTCTCAAAGGTACTAGTGTCACGTGCATAGATCAACATGATTCCCCTTAATTTGTAGGGCCCACGTACCCTACGTGCCCATACGTTAAGACGGCACTAGTCTGTTCATTAAGTTCACAGGTAATTCTATCAGTTCTTAACTAAGATGCTACTAAATAATTTCAAACATACTTTGCAAATTACCACCACATTAAACATAACTAAATAATGTTGTATTTGAGTGGATTCGCATATGTTAATCGATGTAAAGACGATCATTAGCATCGCGGTAAGAGCGGGTCTGTATTTTAACTACTTCTTACTCGAAAGTACTACTTCACTAGAGAGAATTGATCAGACTGGTAGTTAATTCGTAGTCAAACATTCGAATGCCTAACACGAAACTTTTGCAACATTTCTCTTACGCAGCACCGTATCGTTGAACAGGTGATCGAGACTTTGAGAAACTTCCGAACAGTCGAGCAACATGCATGCTTTTCTTTCAAGATATCTCAGAGCAAAAATTAGTTTGAATAGATGGTTCTTAGAACCGAGAAGCATGTTTCTTTTTCTCTTAACAATAGTATAGTTGCACCAAACAACGTCAAACCGATGAGAACAACAGGATTCGTTTGGCGAGGATCGACCAAGTTCATCTTTTACCATTTCTTACTGCAAAATTTAGAGACATTCGCACAATTAAATAACTAGATGCACAGTTTGTTTCACACTTTAATCCTAGAGTATGATTCAGACACTAGAGTATCAGGAGACCTAGACACCCTTGCAAAAACTACCCTCTAGAGTACAGTTGCATGAGAATTAGAAGAACATCCATTAACATAGCCTGCATTCTAAGACAAATAGCACCACTCTTATCCTTCCTCGACATCACTATAATGTAAAAATGCAGTTCCAGTGTCATTTATATCATCGTTACTCCCCAGGTCTGGTTCTCAGCGACATCATCGAGAAATACTTCGTCTCTCCGACGTTGCTTCGTGTTGTAAGGGTGGCGAAAGTCGGACGTGTGCTTCGACTCGTGAAAGGTGCCAAGGGCATTCGAACTCTTCTCTTCGCCTTGGCGATGTCGTTACCAGCCCTCTTCAATATTTGCCTATTATTGTTTTTGGTGATGTTTATCTTCGCGATATTTGGGATGTCTTTCTTCATGCACGTCAAAGACAAGAGTGGACTGGACGATGTGTACAATTTCAAGACGTTTGGCCAGTCGATGATATTGCTATTCCAGGTAAGAGGATCGTGACGATCTGATTGTTGTAAGCTGCAGGGATTTTAAATTATGCATTCAATGTTTGGTATTTGGAACTTTTAAAAGGAGTTAATAGCTGACACAATATCTCAGAGCTCTAAAAACCTAAAAATCCCTGCAGCACCTAACGATATCACCGAAACACACACATTCTAACGTTGTTAACTCGTAAAGATGTCCACGTCCGCCGGTTGGGACGGTGTGCTGGACGGCATAATAAACGAGGAGGACTGCCAGGAGCCGAACAACGAGATAGGATACCCGGGTAATTGCGGTTCCTCGACGATCGGGATCGCCTATCTTCTCTCGTACCTGGTGATTAGCTTCCTGATCGTGATAAACATGTACATCGCCGTGATCCTGGAGAATTACTCTCAGGCGACCGAGGACGTGCAGGAAGGTCTTACGGACGACGATTACGACATGTACTACGAGATATGGCAACAGTTCGATCCGGACGGGACGCAGTACATCAGATATGATCAGCTGTCCGACTTCTTGGACGTGTTGGAGCCACCGTTGCAGATACACAAACCGAACAAATACAAGATCGTATCGATGGACATCCCCATATGTAAGGGCGATCTGATGTTCTGCGTGGACATCCTTGACGCTCTGACGAAGGACTTCTTCGCGCGCAAGGGCAATCCCATAGAGGAGACGGGCGACATCGACGTTCAGGCGCGTCCGGACGAGGCCGGCTATGAGCCGGTGTCGTCCACCCTTTGGCGTCAACGCGAGGAGTATTGCGCACGTCTCATACAAAACGCTTGGCGAAAGCACAAACAGCAACGTCTGGGCGGTCCTAGCGAGGAAAGCGACGACGCAGACATGGACCCGCGTGTGAGACAGACCGCGGTCCTGGTCGAGAGCGACGGTTTCGTGACAAAGAACGGTCACAGGGTCGTGATACACAGCCGATCGCCAAGCGTCACCTCGAGAACAGCGGACGTCTGATCGCCGACGTCGACGTCTCCAGCACCGCCACCGTCGTAGCTAGCGTCGCCGTAGCCACCCCGGTGCCCGTCCGTGCGACGAACTCGCTCCAGTTGCAGCATCGCCGAGAAACGGATATCCTGGACACGAAGCGTCGATCCTGCACCGACAGAGCCGTTGACAACTGCTCTAGGGGAGCCAGCGGCCTCACGGACCTCGCGCGCGCGCTCTCCATCGACAGCCTTATAGTTGTATAAAAAGAAACGAAACAAAGAAAAGAAAAAAAATACTTAAAATGAAAAAAGAAAAATACAAATTCCTCTAACGAGTTGCCTTCAATCGACTCTAAAACGCCACGATCGTTGGGAGCGACACGCCGTAAGGAGCGTGAACGACGAGTATTCTGGGAGCTGTTCAACGAGAAGAGAGAACACGAGAAGAAGACTGCGCCGTGTTTGCGATGCAAAGTTTGCGTACGCTCGCGGTAGCGGAGGACACGAGTCGGTGGGATCGGTTCGGTGGTCATTGGGGCACGATAAGGGGGAACGCACGAAGAGGAATCGAAAGACAAAAGAGCCCTGAGAATCGCGATAGAAGTTAGTAAACCGGGCGGGGTAACGTGGACGAAGCGCAAACGCGACTCAACCTTCGAGTCGACTTCCCCAAATCAAGGCTCGAAGGCTGACGTCGCCCCCGCTTCGAATTATATCCTGGCCTTCGATGGACTTCGTTAAGCGAGACCCTTACCGTTCGAGATGTTTACAATGACGATCCGCGCTGGCTGCGTTAGTTGCATGAATTCGTATAAAATTGAACACACACACACACACACACACACACACACACACACACACACACACA